AAGATTTTTTTGAAAGAAGTCTCTTATATGATCAGAAATACTGTAAAATCAGTAATATTGTGAAATATTATTACAATTATAAAGTACTGTAAATTGTTTTCTGTACGCAAAAAGGCACGAGAGACTGTGCTTATAAAGGCTGAAAGGCGTTGTTTGGCTTGACGCGAAGCGGAGTAACCCCTTCAGCCGTGACTTATTCACTTATGCATTCCCTCTATTGACCAATCAGAATCAAGGATTGGAAATAACTGTTTGATAATTGTAAATATATGTTAAAATGTATTTTTTTGCTGTGATTAAAGCTGAATTTTCAGCATCATTACTCCAGTCTTCACGCCACATGATCCTTCTGAACTCACTCTAATGTATTGATTTGCTGATCAAGAAACATTTATGATTATTATCATCAGTTTGAAGTTGTGCTGCTACATATTTTTTGTGGAAATTGGTGCATTTTATTCAGGACTTAAATAGGATTTTAAAAAGAACAGCATTTATTTGAAAGAGAAAGTTTCGTGACATAAATGTCATTCAATTCAATTGAATGCACCTTTTGCTGAATAAAAGTTTTTTTTTTAATACTTTTGAACGGTATAGTGTATAGTCACTCTTTTCCATATCTTTACAATGAATGGGCGTTCGGATATTTATGCCATTCTGTCCTGAGCTCTTCCAGTCAGTTGATCCACATTTATCAACCCACTCGAAGTTAAGTTTCACACATGTATTGCGCTATCATGGCTTCAGAAAATGTGTAACACAGTGTAAACATGGATTATTAATAATACAAGCGGTGCTTTTGTGTTCTTTTTGAAGCTTGAAAGCCTCAGGCATACAGCAGAGCTATTATAGTTAACTAAAACTATACCATAAAAACCATTTAACAGTGTTTTTGTTGCTCTAAATAAAATTGTCACGGTTGGCAATATCTTATTGAACAGAAAATGCAAGAGCACACTACGCTTCCAACTAAACGTTAACACTGGACAAGGAGCAAAGGAAAACTCAGGGCTTAAAGGGTTAGTTCACCCAAAAATGAAAATGATGTCATTAATGTCTCTCCCTCATGTCGTCCCAAGCCCCTAAGACCTCCGTTCATCTTTAGTCTGAGAGTTTTCTCTCTTTCCATTGAAAATGTGTGTACGGTATACTGTCCTTGTCCAGAAAGTTAATAAAAACATAATCAAAGTAGTCCATGTGACATCAGTGGGTTAGTTACAATGTTTTGAAGCATCGAAAATACATTTTGGTCCAAAAATAACAAAAACTACGACTTTATTCAGCATTGTATTGTCTTCACTGTAAAAAATATTTTCAAGATTTTAAGAAAATATTAATATAAATTTTTTATAATCATTTATTTAGTTGAGATAACTTATTATTTTTAATATTATTAGTTTCTGATGGTTAAATTAATCTACTTCGTTGTATTAACTCACTTTTTCCAGTTCAATCAATTTTAAGGCAACCCAGGTTACTTACTTTTTTAAGTTAAACCAACAATATTTTTTTACAGTGTAGTAATCACAACATTTTTTCTTTTGTCAAATCAACTTAGATAATTTATTTAGTTCAGATAACATATAATTTTGAGTTTCTGATGGTTAAATTAATCTCCTTCATTGTATTAACTCGCTTTTTCCAGTTCAATGAACTTAAAATTTTAAGGGAACCAGGTTACTTACTTACAATATTTTTTTACAGTGTTCCGGTTCTGTTGTGGATCCGCGTTCAGTGACGTGGCTGACGTGTGTCTGGTGCGGCTGAGCTTCGGTTACAGTCTGAGGGAGACGGGCGGTGTACAAAACAATCTTCACAAACATGTCTAAGGATTTCCACACAGAGGAAGACTTGCATTTATTTGTCCAGCCATATTTATTTGAACCCGAATACACGGACGCACCAGACACACGTCAGAACGCGGATCCACAACAGAACCGGTCGCAGTTTTTGTTATTTTTGGACCAAAATGTATTTTCGATGCTTCAAAACCATTATAACTAACCCAAAATATGAATATTAACTAAAACAGAATCTGAATGATACTAAAATAACAATGGACTAGAGCTTTTGCAGCTTTGGATTCTAATAATACTATAAACTAATACTATTGCAAAAATATAATAATAATACTAATAATACTATAAACTAATACTATTGGTTTTTGTGAGGAGTGCCTCTAAGGATATTAATTTTATGGAAAGTCGTCACCATGATAGAAATACATGTGTGTGTTGGGGGGGGGGGGTAAACCCTTATAGGGACAAAATCCCACAAAAATGGCAATATCTGAAATCCTTATCCTTGTGGGGAACTTGTTTGGTCCTCATGAGGAAAACAGCTTATAAATAATAGTAATACTAAATTTTATGACTGTAAAAATGCAGAAAGTGTTGTGTGATGGGTAGGTTTCGGGTTAGTGTAAGGGGAGAGAATATAGAGTTTGTACAGTATAAAAACCATTACGTCTATGGAGAGTCCCCATAAAACATGGAAACCCAATGTGTGTGTGCACATTTAGATGTAAACATCCAGCATCGACTGAATATTCAGCGCATGAGCTTCACATTTTCTTCCCTGCGGCTTCTCGTCATACATGCATAACTATGTGTGTGTGTGTGTGATTCAGCAGTCTAATGCAGCGCTGTGGAAAAGAGGAAAGGATGGAGAAAGATAAAAATGAAGGATGACAGAGAAAGTGAAAATATTTGTGTCAGCGAGAAAGAGCTTTGCAGTTTTCTCTCTCACCCGTTCCTCTCGTGTGATGAATAGATGTGCCTTTTCTCGCTACTTTTTTAGATCAAATTAATGATTCAGGCTATTAATTTAGTGATTTCTCACAGTCTTGGCTGGTAATATGTAACTATCAATATAATAGTCCATTCCACACACACACACACACACACACACACACTGGACACAAACAAATGCACAATTGCATCATTTCTATAAATAGACTAGCCGGGCAAACAAAAATAGATTCAGAGAAGAGAAAGCGTGGTTCAGCCGCCTGGATCTAAACACACTGACAATCTGTCTCTTTCTATCTCTCCATTGGACACGTAAGTGAGCAGCAGCTCGGATGAGAAGCAGGCACGGGTGACACATCGCCCATCTTCAACTGGTGTTCATCCATCTGTAATTAAAGCGGCCACGGGTGCTACTCTACATTTCAAAACGACCCATCTTTTTTATTTACAATGGTTTTGAACACAGCTCCATATCCATTTGCCAATATATGCAATCTGATGTTAAGATGAGAAGTTGATATCTATATAAATGTATATTGGGCTGCCTGCAAGTAACAAATTGTTCAGATTTCCAAATTACATTTTTTGATATTTTTTATGAAAAGTTATTTTTATAACGTGTAAATTAAAGGTTTTGTAAACTAATTTAGTTAATAATACAACTGCACAGACATCCACTCGTCTGAACATAGTAATTGCATTTTTACCCCATATTTACTGCTATAAAATGATTTGTGTTATATATGTTTTGCTAACATTCCCATTAAGTTATGAACACATGAATATTCTCAGAATTTTCAAACATCCATGTGTGGACACGCCCCCTACTGCTGATTGGCTCACTCTTTCTCCTCCCCAGTCATTTGTGGACATGCCCCCCTACTGTTGATTGGCTCACTCTGTCTCCTCCCTTCATCATGAATGGACACGCCCCCTACTGCTGATTGGCTCACTCTTTCTCCTCCCCCATCATGTGTGGACATGCCCCCACTGCTGATTGGCTCACTCTTTCTCCTCCCCCATCATGTATGGACATGCCCCTACTGCTGATTGGCTCACTCTTTCTGCCCCATACACACAACCGCCACATCCGGGAACTTCACTGTCAATTTTGTCCCCGCCCCCTTTTGGGGGAAACAAACTAGACTCCCCATAGACTTAAATACAAAATAACGGCAAAAACCAACGTACACAGCCGACAGGCGTAAATAACTTAAGAAATGACTTATATAAAACATGTCAAATAATTATACGTCCACCCTGCCTGCCATAGAGCGTGAAAGATACATTTTTTATGCCCGTTATCAACTAGCCCAGGCCACCTGCCATCATCATCATAAATTCATAATGTATACATTAAGGTTTTTTTACTTTAAAAAACAAAATAAAATCATTCACTGGCTTACCTGGTGACTCGATGAGGTACAAGTAATGTCCGGGTAAGACACCTCTGGCCACTGGGTGGGGTTGTTAGTTACCCCAATTTGATGCTGGGAAAATAAAGGGACATGTTTTTAAATTGGCCAAATTAAGTTTGTGTATGTATCTTTCAGGCTCTATGGCAGGCAGGGTATATATAATTAACATATAATTACTTGACATGTTTTATATTAGTGATTTAGTTATTTACGCCTGTCGGCTGTGTACGGACGTTGGTTTTGTATTGAAGTCTATGGGGAGTCTAGTTTGTTTTCCCCTTAAAAGGGGGCGGGGACAAAATTGACAGTTAAATTCCCGGATGTGCCGGTTGTGAGTATCATGTGTGGACACGCCCCTACTGCTGATTGGCTCACTCTTTCTCCCCAATCATGTGTGGACACGCCCCTACGGCTGATTGGCTCACTCTGTCCCCTCCCCCATCATGAGTGGACACTTATTGCACCTTGATGGGAATGTTTTCTCGATATTAAAAAAATGTCATTCCACGAATGATAATATTTTTGTGCTGATAACATTATTAAAGAGATCATTTTGAATGTTAACGTTCTATCAACACTACTGGAAGAACGTTTGCTCATAACTTTGCCAGAATGTTATAGCTTAAGTTTTGAGAATATTCCCTGCGATTGTGTCCATTTCCTATTGGACACAAATCCATAGAGCGAATAGCTTTTTCGTATCATTACTTTTACTATATCCGGTATTTTTGATATACCTTCAGGTATATGGATGAGTAGAAGAAAAATCATGAGGATTGGAGTACTGAGGACAGAGAACTAAATACTCTTTCTCTCTCATCTTTTCTCTCAGAAACCTTGGAAAGTCGGGTCTACGTGTTTCTTGCTTGGGTCTTGGTGAGTATCCAGTCGGTCATTTAAGCGGAAGTGTCAATCTTTTCCATGTTAAAAATACTTTTACTCTTGTGAAAAAGAATTGTGCTTAAATGTATTGAATGTGCACTTCAAATCTTAAAAGTATATTTTAAAAATATAATGTTAATTAGAGCCAGACCGATATATCAGCTGACCGATATTAGGCATTTTCCAAACTATCGGTATCGGCAGTTATAATGGCCGATAAATAAATATTTCAAAAATAACATAAAAACAGACGAAATACGCTTGAACCATGTCATGAGTGTTGGAGTTGTATAGTTTGTCCACCAGAGGGCACTCTACACCGTTCCTGTTGGCAACACTCGTTGAGTTGTTCACGAGACATACATTGCTTGAATAACAATTAAAAGATCATCCCCATCAGTTCTCTTAACTCAAATAAGCATGACAAAATTTGTGACTATCATGTCCAGTTTAAAAAAATATCGCCCGATATATCGGATTTTAAAACCCAAAAATATTTGTACCGGTATCGGCCTTCAAAATCCTTTATCGGTCGGGCTCTAATGTTAATTAAATAAAATATCCAACTTCTTCATCCTTCTCTCTGACTCACTCTCTCTCTGTTCACAGGCACCTGGGTGACATTTGGATCTCAGATCTCGGACGAGGTGAACTGTAATGTTCAGGATAGTTTTACATTACCTCACACAATCACCTCCTAGAGCTGCACGATCAATCGTTAAAAGATCGCCATCTCGATTCAAACACCCACGTGATCTCTGCTTGCCTTGCACAACACATTTTGAGAGAAGAGATAGAAGACGCTGAACACTCACGCTGTTTGTGGAATTGCGTCTGGCATTTTATAATCTGTGTGGATCACGATTGCGGGAATATCCCGCATTATAAATGGGAGACCTTCGGGAATGATTAGAATCATGCACAATACCCGCAATCCTGCGTCAAATTTCGAGCCCTGAAGATACACAAATAGTTAGTGAAATGCCTTATGCTAGATAACACCACAAATGTAACATTATCATGGTACAAGCATTAGTTCAGTCAAGCTCATAAAAGTAGCCTATCATTGTAATGTTGGGAGTTTCCATGAGTTTCCAGCATGTTGTGTGATGCTTTCTCCGGTGTGTTGAAAGTCTCAGTGTTGCCGTGTACCGCGAGTGCTCGCTCTTGTGTTCTTGTAAAAATTGGTTGCATTCTGAAAAATCACCGATAGAGGCCGCTAAAAAATACATATAGCACCTTTAAGGCGAGACACGGCAGGCAAAGACATTGGTCAATTTTGAGATTTTGGGCTATTTGTATTCAATAAAATGTTGTCTTTCAGACTTGTGTTGAAAAAAAGGGCAAAATACAGATTTAGGTCTTTATTTTACTAAACTTTGTCTGTTTGCGTGTGTAGATTTTCGCCTAAATTCGTCAAAAGTTGGCATTCTAAATCATCCCACTGCTCCGTGATCGCGATCCGCACCGTCATCGCGCACACCATTAGAAAGCTCTCTCTCTCCTCTTCAATGCTGTGTGTGTCGGATCCAAATATAGTCATTTCCTGTTTATCAGCAACCAATCATGAAAGTAAAATGGGCCATTTTACTCGAAATGCGCAACCCCATAAAAATCTTTAAAGGCCGTTTTCTTAAAATCTTTTTTTTCCTCACACTTCTAGTGACGATTTTCCACTTCTGTAGCACACACTTAACTTTATAGCCGGATTCCTAACTACATTGTGAAGGTTTGTTCAGAGGGATTTGTTGATATATCATTCTTGGCCTGGTTTATATGACATTTTATGCCTAAAAATAGGGTGGAAATCTATTTTTTAAGGCTATTGGCTGTATTTTCTGATTTACAGGGTAACAAGGAGATATTCACAATCCCCTCTGAAAATGTCTTATCATTGAATATATCAACAAAATGCAAACATAATTTTAAACCTTGTTTTTTTTAATGGTCACTTCAAAATATATGCAAATTAACGCATATTTAATTAGACCGAGCCTGATTAGCATATTTTAACAAAAAAAATTACAGAAAACTTGCAATACATTTTTTCTCCTATTTATGCCAGTAATTAACTGGTAAAGTTTTATGGTGACATCTGTAAGTTAAAATTTTGGTCCTATTCACCTGCAGTGTCTCGTCTTAAACAAAAAAAACAAAAATTGTGATGCTCAATTTATCCAGGATCGTAAAGCTCGTGTGCAGCAATTAATCGTGCAGCTATTATCAATAATAATTGGGGGTGGAGGTGGGAGAATAAAAAAAAGAGAGATTTTAGACCTTAAAAGGAATATTCTGCGTATAGGACAATTTACACTGCATTTACAGCATCATCTGAATGTGTCAAACACTGTAAAATCAAAGCAAGAAAATAAAAAAATAAAATCACACTCACGATAGGAACGGCATTGTACAGGGATCATGTGTTACTATTTCTGTGCAAAGTTATAAAGTTAAAGTTAATCTGCATGAGTTTGAATTATTTTTCTGTGGTAACTGAAGCATCTTTTGCACCAAGAGCATGTACTGTATGTAAATGGCCAGATCTCTGTCAGTTTATGCGTGTGGATGTCTTCTTCTGTAGATGGCAGAGAGTCTGATGACGATAGCCTATGAGAACGGAGTGAATCTGTTCGACACAGCAGAAGTCTATGCTTCAGGCAGGTACGATTCACAACTATATATTGGAGAAGAGATTCCATGTACTTCTCTTTGCTGTTCTACAATGGGCCACGGGTGTGGATTTTATTCCGATCGACACTTTTTGTTAATGTGTTTTGTGAAAGAAAGTGTGTTTAATTGTACTGAATATGCACTTCAATTCTTGTACTTGTGAATAATATAATATTAATGATAAAAAGGACACTTGCATACGTACTTAAATACAGTACACTTTCATGAAAGTGCATTTTAAATCATTCATTTTTTGTGCTTTAAAGCACATGTACTTTATGTACTATTAAATTTAACATTTAATATATTTTAAATTGCAACTTCCAAGAAATGTTGAAGTGAATGGGTAACTAAACCCCTGGTCAGAGCCTGACTCCACCCACTGGCAATATTTGAAAATGCTGAAAAAGTGGGCTGACCCCAGCGGAGATAGAGGGGACGAAATAGATGCTAAAACACTCTATCCTGGTCGTTTTCAATACTCACAATTCCAATTCCTGACTCCCAACCGTGGTTTTGACGACACAAGATGGTTTTTATACTGCCAAGGGCGTAGCTCGCGTGGTGAGCTGAAACCTGGGTACGTCACGAAGTGCGGAACATCCAATAGGAAAATTCAACTGCAGTAGCCACCGTTCAACCTGAAGAGGGCAGCACTTACATATTGTAGAAAATAAAACACTTTATACACAAATGTCAAAAACGTTACTCGAATCAATGACTGGTATTAATAAAGATCCATTCTTACAGATCATTAACTAAAAAAGTTGGTTTAGTGTTTAGTTACTCTTTAAAGTATATTTTAGTTTTAGTTAACCACAAATGCTTGTCAGTACATTCAGCTGTACGCTTTAACCATATTTCAAATATAATAGCAGTAATTATGGCACTATAAGTAAAGATGTAGGCTACTTTCTGTAAGTAGGTAAAAAAAAAAAGAAAGAAAAAAAAGAACATTACAATTTGTTTGCACTTAAGCATATTATTTATATAATACATTTAGTTACAGTCCCTGATTCTGATTGGTCAATCGCTGTGTTTTATTCACTCTGGATAAAACCATAAAACACGGCAATATGACCGCATCACCCAACGGTTCTATGTAACACTACACAACCCCTCTAGCAACGTAAACATGTTTGTTCTCACTGATATTGATTAGAGTAACCTATATTGTGAGAGATCGAGTAAGCAAGTGTAGCCTACCTGCATTTACAGTAGATAGAGCATTTTCCTTCAGATCTGTGCTATATTCGTGATAAAAAATCCGTTTGAATGTCCGTTGCCCAATCAAGTTTCCCGTGCCCTAGTCATCGGTCCGTTGCGTCTTGCTTCTCCATGTTCACAAGTTTCAGTCCTGTCAATATAAAAGTCTTCTTCACTGACAGACTCACTCATAAAGACAGTCTTTGTCTCCATCTAATGGCCAAATAGTGTATGTAACTCCTGTTTCTGTTCACGGCCAGGGACTATTTTTTCCAGCGGAAGGAACAATTTTAGTGATTTTCCCTCATGAGAGGTGCAATGATACATATATAATTTTGCTTTAATAATTGTATTGTGTGGTAACAATTTTATAAAAATAGTAAGGTAGACTAGTGCTAGTGAATAGTCACTTGCATAATATTTTTTTTTTTTTTTACAAGATTGGTTGTTTCTTTTTACATCTCTTTCTGACTAAACAGAATTGAGAGCTTAGGATTGTAGACAATGTTGTTGAGCAGGGTTTTCCAGTCTCAGTCTCTCTGAGAGAGAGAAAGAGAGAGAGAGAGAGAGAGAGAGAGAGAGCCTCCTGCCAGCAGGGTTTAGCTTCAGTCCTAGTTAAGTGTGTGTGTTGTGAACTCTGCAGGATGGAGGCTCTCCATGAGCAGGACTGGACACTGCTGATGTAATGTGATAACCGTAGTTTGAAATAAAGGTTGTGAACTGAACAGCCGTTAGTAGATCTTGGTGATTATTTGAGGGATTATACGAACACATTTGGAGCAGCATGTGTAGATTATATGAAGAAGAGAAGTCCACATGTCCTGTAATGTGACATGCTTTACACCATCTTCAAACTGCTAGTTCTTTTATAATTATTATGCATGCAGAGTTTTTTACATGCTATTTATTGAATATTTAAAAATCCATACACTGTAGGACTGATTATAAATTGTGAAATGTAAACTAATGTTGACCAAATATACACTTCCCGTTAGAGAGACTGTATTGCAATAAGATCTTCATTCTCGCGATCGACAGACTCACTGTCCTTTGTTTGCTCAATCACAGCAACACTTTATGTGATGGGAATAGATCTAAATACTTCAAAAACATCTCACGATTCGTTAATCTCGATAGCTGTAATAGTAAAAACCTATAATAGCTGTAGTAAAATTATTCGAGAGAGTTTCACATGTCATACATAGCTATTTCATATGCAAGGATGTCAGCCAATCACAGCAGAGGCCGGTTACACACAGCAGACACGCCCCTTCAAACAGAGTGTTCAAAGCAGAGGCTAAAATCAGGCTAGGAAAAATGCCTTTTATTTCTAAATTATGACTATTTTTGATCTAAAAAACATACTAACATTATAAGGGCAACCCAGGAAACTTTATAAAATAATTTTAAAAACCAGTATAGGGCACCTTTAATGCATTTTCATCTGCATCTTAAATGCATTTGAACAAAAATTAATACTACAGTAATACTTTAATAAATGTATATGTATGTGTGTGCATTTATAGAGTGACAAAGTTGAATCTTTTCTAATCAAATCTTCTAAAGTATGATACATTTTAACCGAAAATCTTGATGTCCATTTAAAAAAAAAGTCCACAGAGATGCTACACAACTGCATTGTGTGTTTTATGACTCATTTTAATAATTGAAAAATTTAAGTGTAACTTTGACGTTTTTCAACCTGCTTTGTATCGTTAGAATGTCAGTGGTATATGTAAATAAACCGTGCTCACTTGTACTCCGAGTTACCTGGACAGAGAAGTTCACATTTATTTGTCAACAATAGTCCGCCGGATGACCTTTGATTGCTTAAAACTACAGATTATACTTTCACACTTTTTTGTATCCCCGCCCATTGACAGGAAAACTTCCTCCCGCTAAACATTTAATCTTTGAAATCCTGCACCAGTATCAACACCATTATGACTAAAAGTTAGCATGGTGGGAGTGGCCTTGGATGGCAACATCCAATAATGCTTTTAAGCCTTGTGCATTATGGGTATTGAAGTTTTCCTACCTATTTGGCAAAAGGGAGAGAAGACAACCACCTTTTTCTATTGTCTCTAGCCAGGTAGCACCGATTTAAAACACTTTTGTGAAGCACCTCTTTTAATGATTTAAACATTTTTATGTTCCATAGTTTTGAAATAGTCAGTGTTGTAAAATAAATGGCTATTGGCCAGCTAGCCAGGTCAATTTTAAACGCAGGGTCACTCCACATGAAGAAGCATGTCTTTCCATTTCACGCTTCTAGAGTCCTGTGTGCGGCGGGCATCTGGCTGGCATACGGCTCTGGTGACCTACATGCTCACATACTCACTTCTGTTTTCACATCAGCTCATTTCAGAAATGTGCTGACATTATAGGTTGAATCTAGTGAATTTGCCTCACAAATTGAACTGTAATTGAATCAAACTGTAAGGCACCGTTTAATTTCAGATATTAGTACCGCAAATAAAGCAAGAAATAATGTCTGGATAGAACATTCCTCTCTAATCATCACAAGGTCATTGGTTTACCTGTACACATTTTCATGTTAGAAGCTTTTTCATACTTAAAAAAAAGAGTGCTTATTACGGAAATAGTCCTAGTCAATAATTGTATCCCTTAAAACTAATTTTTGATCATCAAAATGTCATATTTAAATATTTTTTCCTTGGTTACAACTTTGTGACGTCAGAAACACCAGCGATTTCAAAGCGTGTTTTTGAGACTGCCTTTGGTTCAGTGCAGTTTTAAGGAGAAAATACTCAGCAATGCTGTCGACTTATGAATTTACACATGGTTTGTCTTAAAGCATATTAAAAACACCACATAGATTATATAACATAAACAACATTAAAAGCTTGATTTTCACCCCAGGGGGACTTTAAGAATATGCTTAAGTGTGAACTGAATGTAATGTTTTCAACACTTTATTGCATGGTAATGTATGTATTATAGATTACATTTGTATGTTTTTTGACCCACTTAAGTAGGAATTACTTTGTTTTATGTATATGTATATACGATTTTAAGTACACACTCAATACTCTTTTCACAAAGGTCATGGCAATCTAAGCCATTTTTCGTTCTCTGCCATTTGCACAAAGGATTTAATGGTTGAATCCATAACTTGTCTCGTAAAGCTTTACTTATTCTTTGTCTTGTTACATGATAAGAGAGCTCAAACACAGAACTACTTTACACTTCACCAAACATGAATTCTAGCCTTTTCCACGGTCAAAAGACTGTCTAGCACCAACCCTTCTTTCTTCATGCATGCGTATCATGTATAACACTAGTCAAATTCACGTGATACAATACAAATAACACAAAATATAGATTTATCAAAAAACATGATTTTAATGGTAAAAGACTATTAACGGTAAAATTTTACAGCTATGAAAATCCCAAAGTCAAAATTGGAATATGGTGAAAAGGTTTTCGTGAGCCATAACCATCAAATTTATAACAAATAAAGGCTTGAAATATCTCACTTTGCATGTCATGAGTCTATATAATATATTAGTTTTACCTTTTAAGTTAAATTACAGAAATAAAATAACTTTTGCGCCATATTCTAATTTTTCGAGTTTCATCTGTATTTTTACAAATAATAATAATAATAAAAATAGGTTTTCAGATTTTGTGTCCTCCTTTTTCTGCAGGGCTGAAATCACTCTAGGCAACATCATCAAGAAGAAAGGCTGGAGGTGACCGTTTTATTCTCATGCTTCTCATTTTGGATGAATTTTGTGGCAAAGAAGTTTACATATTCTTCTTCTCAAGACATTAATCATGGAAAACGTTTTTACTAGGGCTGTCAAACCATCCAAAATAAAAGTTTGTGTTTACATAATATATTATGCGGGTGCTATGTATAATTATTTTATATATATAAATACACACACACATGCTTGTATATATTAAAGAAATATTTTCATGTATATACTGTGTTAGATTTATATATAATTTATATTATATATAAATATTTCATATATAAATAATATTTTTTTTAAATTATTTCTTAAATATACATGCATGTGTGTGTATTTATATATGAAGAGTTCAGATGCAAAAGCCTCTAAGTGCCATTTGAAATTTTCTTCTAGAATGATCATTTTTATCAAGCTTGTATATTTAAGTTCAGTCATTTCACTTAAATGTCAATGATAATTACCTATTAATTGTTATTTAAGTGAAATTACTGAACTTAAATATACAAGTTTGATAAAAATCATCATTAAAGAAGAAAATTTCAAATGGCATTTAGAGGCTTTTGCATCTGAACTCTTCATATATACAAAATAATTATACACAGTGCACCCATAAAAACAAATACGATTTATCTAATCAAAAAAAAAAAATGTGGCAACAGATTACAAGCAATATTATTAATTAAATTGAACAAATTAAAATTGAGTAATAATTAATACCTTAAAAATGAACCACTTAAAATGAGTAAAACTTACACCAACTTAAACCAATCTAAGTCACCATTACACCATTTGGGTGTAAACTTTACTCTTTTTAAATGGTTAACTTTTAAGGAATTCAATTTATTAATTATTACTCAATTCTAATTTGTTGAATTTAATTAATAATATTGCTTGTAATCTGTTGCCACAATTTTATTGATTAGATAAAGCATATTCATTTTTACAGTGCACATATATTATGTTAACACAAACTTTTATTTTGGATGCGATTAATCGCGATTAATCGTTTGACAGCCCTAGTTTTTACATTATATCTTGTCAGGTTGAGTTCAGAGTAAATGTGGCTGTTATTATAGGACAGGATTTGGCTTGATCTCACTATAATAACCAACATTTCCCCCAAAAAATGTGTTTCAGACGGTCCAGTTATGTTGTAACGACTAAGATCTACTGGGGAGGACAGTGAGTATTCAGTTCTACAATCATATAGATTAACATGAATAAATCAGAATAGTGTCAAAATGAACATATAAACTAAATAATTTACAAATGACATTTATATATATATATATATATATTGTTTTACGCGAGTGCTCTCAAAACGATTAATCACGATTAATCGCATCTAAAATTAAAGTTTGTGTTTATATAATGTGTGTGTACATACAATATATATACATATATATGTGTATATGTATATGCATATGTTATACACACACATATATATATGTAATATATAGATACTCATTACGATTAATCGTTTTGACAGCACTAATATATATATATAAATCTGTAAAATTGTTCACATTCTTTTGTTACATTTATTAATTCTTAAGTGTACAGTTAAGATATTGTGTTTGAAATATAAGTTATTCAATATTAACTTCTTGTACTCCGGCATGCTAATACTCAGTGAATAAACTGTAGTCATTTTCGGACTCCATATCTTCTCCTCTCTGACATCTGCATTTATAATCATCAGGGCAGAGACAGAGAGAGGCCTGTCTAGGAAACACATCATAGAAGGTAAAGTGCTGCTCACCCCACCTCTCCCTCGAGATTATGACGATAATAATTAAGCAGAGAGACAGTGATGGTGATGTATCCACAGGTCTCAGAGGTTCCCTGTCTAGACTACAGCTGGATTACGTGGATATTGTCTTTGCCAACCGAAACGATGTCAACAGCCCCATGGAAGGTCTATCTTCGCTACATGTGTTATGAATGAATAATGTATGCTATATGGCTTATCACGAGCACTGTTGTGTGTATGTTCTTTCAGAGGTAGTACGTGCGATGACATTTGTTATAAACCAGGGTATGGCCATGTACTGGGGCACGTCCCGCTGGAGCGCCATGGAGATCATGGTAGGATCTATCATCCCTCAATAGAACAAAGTTCATTCCATAAGCATACCATCTGATCTTCATAATATAACACATTTACCATTGTAATAAAATAAGTGTATACCAGTGTTGGGCAACATTGAATATAGCTTGTAAAGCCTCGAGCTCGCAATTTGTAGTAGTTCAACTATAAAAGAAAGCTTGTTACACTACAAGCCACCAACACCCAAGGGCATAATGGCATTTAAAATATAAGGCTATCCAGCAAGATCGTTTATGCCTTGCTTTTGGCTTGCTTAGTTGGGGACATTTAATGTTCAACAACATTATTGATCTGTGTTGTATTACTTTCATGTTATCACTGTGAAGCTGCTTTGATACAATCTTTATTGTAAAAAGCGCTATATAAATAAATGTCACTTGACTTGACTTATAATTTCATTTCTATATTTCTCAATTATATTACATGCATCTACAACTTGAACAAACATATTTATATTAGGGCTGTGCACTGCAAAGACTAATTGCGATTAATCGCATCCAAAATAAAAGTTTGTGTTTACATAATATGTTTGTGTGTGCTGTGTATAATTATTTTGTGTATATAAATACATATGCATGCATATACGAATTATTTGCACGTAAATACTATATATATTAAACACATGATGTATATTATATATATAAATATAAATTTTTTATATATGAAGAACACATTTTTTTTTAAATATATACATGCATGTGTGTGTATGTAAATATATATATACAAAATAATTATACACAGCACACAAAAATATATTATGTAAACACAAACTTTTATTTTAGATGCGATTAATCGCAATTAATCTCTGCACAGCCCTAATTTATATATAAACTAAAAATTTTGCTATGAATAGGAAGATTCAGGAACTCAAAACATTTTTTTTAACTGAACTGTCCAATTTACCGGGTCCATTGGACTTTCAAACGCAAAACAATGTAGGAGAATGTGTTTGATTATTAACAGCAAAGTAACATTTGTTTGTCATTTGACACTTGACACTAAATAAACTACTATCACACAAAATATAATTTGATTAAAGGTACACTGTGTAACTTTTAGGCCCTCTGGTGGTTAAAAACAAAACTGCATGCATTTTGTGGAAGAACATCGTTTCGGTTGTGTGTCGGCTCAGTGCGACTGCGGATGAATGTAGTTATCTTACTGCTCATAAAACATTCACTATAGGCTTAACAGATTTAACCAGTTTAGATGGAAAGGATCTGAAGACGTTACTGTAGCTTTACCCATTAAGACACACGCTACTTCCTTGAGTTACAACAACACACAGCGTTACAACAACCATATTGAAATGATTCTTCACAATAGATGATGCTTTACAATCAACTCTGTTACAGAGATACATATGGCAATTTATCTGTTCAATAAAATACCCAGAGATGTATAGTAACGAAGTAGAACTACTTAAGTACGTACTAAAATGCTGTATCTGTACTCTACTAGAGTATTGTTTTTTTCTCATACTTCTACTATTACTTCAGTAGATATTTTCGATGAATTTAATACTTTTACTTCGATATTTTTGTTAATGTTCTGCTAGTTACTCGTTACAATTATAAAAATGTTACGAATCATTCGTTGCAAGTTGGCTTTCATCCTGCCTAAATCACACACCAGTTTTATAGGGTAATGGTATTGATTGACACACATTGACAACTAATGCAGGGATTGTCCTGCAATGACATTTTTTTTGGCAGCCGCCAAATTTGTATCCCGCCAAAGCGCCTTATTTGATTGCTAGTTCAAACTTTTGACTGCTTTCTTTAATAATGACATGACACAATACTTGTACTTTTACTTTTAGTACTTAAGTAACTACTTGCAATACTTAAGTACAAAAAATGTTGAATACTTTAGTACTTCTACTTAAGTGTGGTGCTTAAAGAGCACTTCAACTTCTACTCAAGTCACTTTTTTGATAGAGCACTTGTACTTTTACTCAAGTCCGGGTTTCTAGTAGCTACTTTATACATCTCTGAAAATACCTTACTCGCCTGTTGAGTAATACAAACGCGATCTCCGCATTTCAATTTCCTTAGTTCTTTCCAACCATGAAAAGCCAAGGCGATGTTGATTGTTGTATTATTACGAGCTCTGTCGCGTCCTCTATTTGCCGGCAGACTTTCCTCTGTTCGCTGTTATTTTGTAACACGGGTGAGGTTGGAGATTTACCCACTCCATGTCAACCTTTCTCACACGAAACACACACACATTAAAGTAGCCGGAGCATCTTTTCTCTATTTACGGATATGACAAAGCGAGTGACGCATGTACGCAAAAGCTAAAATATAAAAACTTATATAATAAGCTTACCATAGTGAATCATGGTAACACTTTTTTGGAAAAGGAATTGATGCGTTTTTTACATTTTGTTGATATTTGTCATCTTTAAATGTCTTTTATTGACTTCTAAACACTGCTGTACACAACACTGGTTGTTAGCATCTCGGCTACAGAAAGGACAGTCTAACCTTTTCTTCTCTTCTGTGTGTGTGTTTAGGAGGCATACTCCGTAGCGAGGCAGTTTAACTTAATCCCACCAGTATGCGAGCAGGCCGAGTATCACTATTTCCAGAGGGATAAAGTGGAGGTGCAGCTGCCAGAGCTCTACCACAAGATCGGTCAGTCCACAAAAGTTACCTTCAAATCATTCATTATACCAAATGTGTTATTAAACCAAAAAATGTGCCATTAAACCAAATGGAAGTTGCTCAGATTGTAGGCTATGTGTAGTATGCAACGTGGCATGGGCCGTACTCATGACTGATCACTCTACTGTATATTAAAGGAGTAGTTCACAAACTTTAGCTGATAATTTACTCACCCCCATGTCATCCAAAATGTCCATGTCTTTCTTTTTTCTGTTGAAAAGAAATTAAGGATTTTGATGAAAACATTTCAGGATTTTTCTCCATATAATGGACTTTACTGGTAACCAAACAGTTCAAGGACCAAAAAACAGTTTTAGAGCAAACTGCAAACTGTTCAAAGGGCTTTAAACGATTCCAGACGATGAATAAGGGTCTTATCAAGCGAAACGATCACTCATTTAAAAAAAAAAAACAAAGTTTAAGTTTTATAAGCTCAAATGCTTGTCTTGCTCTGTTCTGTGACGCACGTTCGTGACTCTCCTGTTCAAACTCGTTCATCAAAACGAACAACTTTTTTCGAGTCATTTGGTTGATTCAACGAACGAAATGAACGAATTGACTCGGAAAAAGATTTGTTCATTTTGACGAACGAGTTCGAACAGGAGAGTCACACAGAACAGAGCAAGGTTTTCACATTTTCAAAAAAGTTTTCAAAAATGTTCATCCAGTCGTTCCAGTTCAATAGTTCGCCGGTGCTAGGCTAGCGCGAGTCAACGGTAACTGCTAGCCTGCCTTTAAAAAAAAATGTAAAGGTAATATTATATTAGCGCGCGTTATTCGTCAGCGTTTTTCAACGCGTTTTTTGTGTTCACACCCGAGCGATTTTCGCTGACGATGAGCCGAGTGAACATGCAAATTCATTCCCTGACATTAGATGGCGCCAATTTGCTCTGCAATACCACTCCATATCAGTTCTCTTTTATCAAGATGTTTGTAGTCGCTGTCGCGTTTGTCATATAGCTCTTTATGTTCTAGCGCCAACGAGACCAGCAGCTCTACATTCATCTTCCTCGTCTTATTTCTTCCAGGCTGTGTAAGTGGCGACGCTACTTGGCGTAGATCTTCTTCACCGTTGCATATTTGTGCTCGGCAAGACCGTTTTGTGTTTGAGCGCCCCCAAGTTGTGTTTTACTGTAACTTCAGAAGCTCCAAACACGTGAGCAAAAGCTCCAATCTCATTGGTCGGATAGTTTTTGATGCGGCGCGTCAAACTAAAAAAACGAAACCGAGGTGTTTTTAAAAAATGGCGCTTTTACGTGTGGCATGTGTGAACAATCACATCGGCGCCCTTTGTTTAGTCACGAGGCGTTAAAGGTCAACGAATAACGCACGCGAAATTCACCCTGGTGTGAACAGGCCTTAAATGTCTGTTGAGAGAATAATGTTAAAAATCTAACTTTTGGTGAACTGTGGAGTTACCGTTGACTCGCGCTAGCCTAGCACCGGCGAACTATGCAACTTGAACGACTGGATGAATTTTTTTTTAAAACTGTCTGCCAGAGGTGGGGGACTCGAGTCACATGACTTGACTCGAGTCTGACTCGAGTCACAATTTTCAGGACTTGTGACTTGCTTGATTAAAGTACAAAAATGACTTGACTTGACTTTGACTTGAGAACAAGTTACTTGAGACTTGACTTGACTTGAAGTGGAAGACTCGACAATGACTTGAACATATAATAAACAAACAGCAGTACAGTTAATTAAAATATATATTATGACGTCAGCATCAATATATCGGCATCTGTGCCTTTACGCTGCTCAATTCAAACCGCGCCAAACGGAAGTTCCGGGAGTCTCACACATATTGATAGCGTCTCCCTGATGCCCGCAAATGAGTTAAAATCTCCCGGAATCTAGAGCGAGATACTGCGCGTATAACATACATAGCGTGCGGCGTGTGCACGGCAGAGATATGGGAAGCCAAACAAACCAAAAGTGGGACGAGACAGCGGGGCTTTAGAGCTCGTGCCGCGCAGACATGTCATCTGATTCTGCACGGTTCAATGATCCGAGCCGCGCAGCCGATTCGTCAGCGCAGCGCGGACGTGTTTCCTAGCGACACTCAATAGTCAGCGCTGTACTGACCAATTTAAAGCAACGCAAACCATATGCTACATACTACATGCAAATAAATGTACAATAAAGAAACCCCTCCTTCCTTACAAAGAATTGTTCTCTACTGAAGTTTAGGAGTTAATTATGGAGAATTCCATAATTAAAACAATCATTTGTTAATATTTATGATATACCTCCCTGAAATTAATTCTTGTAGGTTGGGATATCTGTATATGCAGCATAGATATATACACGGCTGTGCAGCTGCAAATGCGTTTTACATATAGGTTTCAGTAAATCGAGGAAAAGGAGTTTCCGAAGACATTTGTTGGCTATGATAAGAAAAACTACTGAATTAAAAAAAAAAATTGCATTTTATATTCTCATACATTTCATACATTTTATATTTTACATTTATATAAGATATAAGATATTACATTTTAGATTTCATACATTTTAGACCGTTTCAATTAAATTGAATTAGACAGATTGGATTATACATCTTAGAATCGATACATCTTAGACTCTGAACGTTTTGTGGAAACAACACAATTTTATTTTATTTTCAGATATTAATGTAGCACAGATATGCATATGATTAATATAGCAAATGTAAGATACATAATATATGTATAAAAGTTCATCTTTTCTGTGCAAAAATAAATATGTATCGAAAAAATTTACCTCTATTTATTTTAGTAGTGTGACTTGACTTTACTTGAAACTTATCAGGACTTGACTTGACTTGCTTAGGGTGAACCCTTGACTTGACTTGACTTGCTTGATTTATCTGAACTGCGACTTGAGACTTGACTCGAGACTTGATGGTTAAGACTTGAGACTTGCTTGGACTTGACCATGTGTGACTTGTCCCCACCTCTGCTGTCTGCACTGATAAATAACACTAAGGCTAACTTGGAAATGAGGCCCGATGTCCAAAATCCTGAACCACCCCTTTAAGTCTTTTTCATGCTATTAAGAGCTCAATCACGGATGAAGCATCAACCATAATGTAATATTTTTTTGTTTTTTAAACGTTTTACGCTATAAAAATATATTTTGTTAGTACATAATCTACCGGCAAGGGCTGTTTAATGACACTAACCCCACGTTCCAGCATGAAAATACCTGAATGACAAATGTACTGAAGAAGTCGTTGAGTTTTGTGACGTCCAACTTCTTAAATTATGAGCATTTTTTTAAATAATTACTTCATTTCATGATTTTTAATTGTTGGATTTGAGGTTTAATTGGAACAGATGTCAACTCTTGTGACTGTCACATGTCATGTCAGGCGTTGGAGCGATGACCTGGTCTCCTCTCGCATGTGGGCTGATCACAGGAAAATACAGCGATGGCGTTCCAGACTGTTCAAGAGCCTCTATGAAAGTGAGTCGTGGAGAGTTTGTCAGCAGTAGCTTCCTCTTTTCAATTTCTCATCCTCATTTGATTTGATATTTTGTCATCTAATGATGTTATATCCCTGTACTTAATGGTCTCAATGTTTGATTGTGTATTAGGGTTACCAGTGGCTGAAGGAGCGAGTGTACAGTGAAGAAGGGCGCAGACAGCTTGCAAAAATCAAAGAGCTCCACCTGGTGGCTGACAGGCTGGGCTGCACGGCTGCTCAACTCGCCATTGGTGAGTGTCTCACGGCTCAGCCTGGATTTTGACTATTGGTGCTAATGGTCTGATCGACTTTCAGGGCCAATAATCATCCACGTATATGTGCTAAGTTGTGTAGAGTCAATATTGGAGCATGCCAGACGGAGAAAGTGCTTGCCATTTTTACACGCAATTTGCATCGGGCGGTCATTTAACGGTTTGTTTATTAACGGTTTATATATTGTGAAATCTCTCACTCAGCATGGTGTTTGCGCAGTGAAGGGGTTAGTTCTGTACTTCTTGGTGTCTCCAATACAGACCAGCTTATTGAGAACCTCGGAGCCATGCGGGTAATAAACACACACACACACACACAACCGCTCAAAGGTAAACCGCTTAAATGTTTTTTGAAAGAAGGTCAAGGAAGGAATGTTTACAGTATAATTGTAATTACTCTTCCTTCATTAAATGATCCTTCAGAAATCATTCCCTTGTGAAAAAAGAAGTGTGCTTAGTACTCATAGTGCACTTTAAATCTTAAAAGTAGGGCTGTCAAACGATTAATCGCGATTAATCGCATCCAAAATAAAAGTTTGTGTTTACATAATATATGTGGGTGCACTGTGTATAATTATTTTGTATATATATAAATACACACACATGCTTGTATATATTTAAGAAATATTTTCATAATTTATATTATATATAAATATTCTATATATAAATATTTTTTTTCTTAAATATACATGCATGTGTGTGTATTTATATATACAAAATAATTATACACAGTGCACCCACATATATTATGTAAATACAAACTTTTATTATTTTATTACTTTTATTTATTATTTTGGATGCGATTAATATCGATTAATCGTTTGACGGCCCTACTTAAAAGTAAATAAAAATGTAAAAAAAACTATACTTATTTGCAGCCAGGTGATATAATATTGATTAAATAAAAGTCCTTTTAAGTGTACGTAAAGAAAGTTCACATTCATGACTACTCTATGTTTATTAACACACTTAATTACAGTTTTATAATAACGTTAAATTAAAAGTATTTTGTGGTGCTTTAAAGAAGTACACTTATTTTGACATGTCGTCAACGAACATACTAAATAAAGCACATGTAAAGTACTGGATTAAGATTTTAACTGTAATGTGTTATTTGTAAATATTTTTTAAATTGCAACCTTATATGTAAATGTGTAATTACAAATAAATTTAAATACATGACATTCAAGTTTCAATAGATTAAAGTATATTTTGGTTTATCATGAATGTTTATCAGTACACTTTAACCATATTCAAAGACAATTATGAGTGTGTTGACATACTGAAGCTGTGCTAAAGTGGGTTAAAACACTCTTAAGTTCAACTAATCGCATTTAATATAAATGGAAACTATAATATATTTTCATTTAATTGTAAATAACATGCAATTTAGAGTCAGAAGGCGTTACATTAAATTCAAACTTGAGTATATTCTTTTGAAATATATTATTTACATGAATAAATAAAGTGCTAAAGTGTTCTTTCACAAGGGTTCTAATATTCTGATATGATCTTCAAGAAGCATTTCTTATCATTACCCATGTTGAAAATATTATTGTTGCCTGATATTTCTGTGGAAACTGTGATGATATATTTCCTCGATGACTGATTGGAGGGTTCAAAAGAACAGCTTTGATTTAAAATAGAATGTTTTTACTGACACGTTTGATCAATGAGACTCAGCCTTCATAACATTATTTTCATATTCTCTTCAGGTGCTGTCTCAAATGACGCCTCAGACTGTGAGCGAGATGGATGCTCTCCTGGGCAACAAACCTCACTCCAAGAAAGAGTCACGTGCGTGAGGGAACTAGAGAGATGACATGAACATGTGCAGTCTGAAAAGACAAAGCAAGCAAGGTGGAAAATACGCAACATGGCGTACCATTGCTTTTCTGCTCTCCCGTATATTACAACACCTGCATGCCTTCTGCAACATGCTTCCGATACCACACCGCTCTCTCGAACCCTACTCAAATATCCCAACATAACCTACCAATTAAACATGGACACGGCTGTCATCAAAGAAACGCCACGAACAACAACTTTTCCATTTCCTTATTCGGAGAGACTAAAGTTTCAGTCTCCCAGGAGGAAGTAATGCCGATTGAAGGAGGTGAATGAGAGTGTCACAAATCTTCTTTTTCAGCAGGCCCAGACAGAACCGGAACTTTCTTGCAGTTTCCACAGCAGAATTCCACTGTTTCCACTACGGAATTCCAGTTTCCACTGCAGAATTCCATTGTTTCCACTACGGAATTCCAGTTTCCACTGCTTCCACTACAGAATTCCAGTTTCCACTGCAGAATTCCACTGTTTCCACTACGGAATTCCAGTTTCCACTACAGAATTCAATTGTTTCCACTACGGAATTCCAGTTTCCACTGCTTCCACAACAGAATTCCAGTTTCCACTGCAGAATTCCACTGTTTCCACTACAAAATTCCTGTTTCCACTACAGAATTCCATTGTTTCCACTACGGAATTCCAGCTTCCACTACAGAATTCCACTGTTTCCACTACGGAATTCCAGTTTCCACTGCAGAAATCCACTGTTTTCACTACGGAATTCTAGTTTCCACTACGGAATTCTAGTTTCCACTACATAATTCCATTGTTTCCACTACGGAATTCCACTGTTTCCACTACAGAATTCCAGTTTCCACTGCAGAATTCCACTGTTTCCACTGCAGAATTCCACTGTTTCCACTACAGAATTCCAGTTTCCACTGCAGAATTCCACTGTTTCCACTACAGAATTCCAGTTTCCACTGCAGAATTCCACTATTTCCACTACGGAATTCCAGTTTCCACTGCAGAATTCCACTGTTTCCACTACGGAATACCAGTTTCCACTGCAGAATTCCACTGTTTCCACTACGGAATTCCAGTTTCCACTATCGAATTCCACTGTTTCCACTACGGAATTCCAGTTTCCACTGCAGAAATCCACTGTTTTCACTACGGAATTCTAGTTTCCACTACAGAATTCTAGTTTCCACTACAGAATTCCAGTTTCCACTGCAGAATTCCACTGTTTCCACAACAGAATTCCAGTTTCCACTGCAGAATTCCACTGTTTCCACAACAGAATTCCAGTTTCCACTGCAGAATTCGACTGTTTCCACAACAGAATTCCAGTTTCCACTACGGAATTCCAGTTTCCCTGGCAGAATTCCACTGTTTCCACAACAGAATTCCAGTTTCCACAACAGAATTCCATTTTCCACTGCAGAATTCCACTGTTTCCTCTACGGAATTCTGCGCAATGGATCAAACGTGATGAAATGAGTTAAAGGAAGCTAAGAGTGCTACATTATTATTGGCAGCTGGAAACTTTATCAAATATTTATTAAACCAAGATGTGCGGGGCGAACGAAGTGTAGCAGTTTCTGAATCCTGCCGAACTCTGCGCAGATTCCGCGTGGGCATGGATGTGCGGATGTGTGTTCAAGAAAGTATGAGCGAGTGTTTGTGTGTATGCATGCAGTGACTCTTTCGATTCCAACTCTCGGTTGCTGGTGTTGCACCCGAGTGACTTGTAAAAATGGACTTGACGCGAGCGAAGCAGTTTCTGAGGTGCCTGTCCCCGTGTGTTGGGGCGTTGTTCGCTGCCTGTCACATTTCATTCTCGCGCTGCAGGAGAGCGTGGCAAAGACTCCGGCGTGTGACGGGAACAACATGCAGAAACTGCAAACAGCTGTTTGGACACATCACAAGTCTTCCTCCATTTCCCTTCCTTTCCATCTCTCCTTGTGTTTACAACAGTGCACCTGTCCCTTTAAGAGAATCCGTGCAGTTATGGGAGGGGCGTGCGAGTGTGTATACGGTACCTTGCAAACATATTTAGACCTTTACCAATTCACTTGTTTAAAAACAAGTCTTTGAGTCAGTATTATTGCTATTGCCATGTATTTTTTAGAAAAAAAACATAAGCATGATGCCTAACACCACCCCACCCCTAAACCTAACCATCAGTGGGGCGTAAGCAGATCGTATGAAAACATGAATGAATTCATAAGAATTTGCCAAAAAAAGTTATAAACTGCCATGAGAATGGGTTGTAGCAACAGTACACGAACAACATTTGCCTACTCTAGTTTGAAAATCTAAAAAAAATCTTCATTTGAGTGTTAACACTGTTAAAGTCTGAAAAAAAGAAAGTAATAACATTCTCTAGTGTTTACTGGCTCGAGGGTGGGGCTACCTGTCACTCACATGAGATCCACCAATAGCAAACCACACCATCCTACAACATTTTTTATTCTCATTTCATTTCACTCATATACATGTTTGGGAATGACTGGGCTGGATATAGCGGCGACTGTTAATTTTGTAAATCTGTTTCTCTGTTTGGTGGTGAAGATACATCACCTTTTATGCACGATTTGTAATTCATCATAATTTAAAACTTGGTTCCTGGTCTGAATACTTTTGCAAGGCATCATATGTGTGGGGCTTGGCTTGAGCGGTCAGCATCCTTTGCACTAAGTGGACAGATTCATAATTTAAGATCATAGTTCACAAGTAGTCATGAAGGGTCATAGGTTAACATGACCAGAGAACTGTGCTAGTATTGCTTTGTGTGTTTGACAAATACAAGCTGCGTCAGTGACAATGAAAAGCGAAGCGCTTCACTTTTGATGTGTTTGTGTCATTCCATTATTTCAGAGAGAAAGACACAGATTTGCTAGATTAAATATCTGTTGTTAATTTCCCATAAGTCATTACCGAATATCACAATGTGCAGTGTCTCAGAACCAAAATGATTCCTAAACCCAAAACGTATCGCATGGTATGCTGTCAGTTTCCACAGGAAATCATTTGGACCGATCTCAGCTTGTAAAAATAAATATGTTCTTTACAGTAATGCATTTGAAATGACATCTGGGGGCAAATGCGCCACAAGGTTTGAAGCTAAAATGTGAAGCTCAGCTGAAAAATCCAGTAGCTCCTCTTTGCAGTACACAAGACCCAAGGGGCGGAGTTGGATCCAGATCTAAGGGGTGGAGATGGGTAGGATTAGGGGTGGGGTTAGGGATCAGGGGGCGGAGATGAGTAGAATTAGGGGTGGGGTTAGGGATCAGGGGGTGGAGATGGGTAGGATTAGGGGTGGGGTTAGGGATCAGGGGGTGGAGATGGGTAGGATTAAGGGTGGGGTTAGGGATCAGGGGGTGGAGATGGGTAGGATTAGGGGTGGGGTTAGGGATCAGGGGGCGGAGATGGGTAGGATTAGGGGTGGGGTTAGGGATCAGGGGGTGGAGATGGGTAGGATTAAGGGTGGGGTTAGGGATCAGAGGGTGGAGATGGGTAGGATTAAGGGTGGGGTTAGGGATCAGGGGGCGGAGATGGGTAGGATTAAGGGTGGGGTTAGGGATCAGGGGGCGGAGATGGGTAGGATTAAGGGGGGGTTAGGGATCAGAGGGTGGAGATGGGTAGGATTAAGGGTGGGGTTAGGGATCAGGGGGCGGAGATGGGTAGGATTAGGGATGGGGTTAGGGATAAGGGGGTGGAGATGGGTAGGATTAGGGGTGGGGTTAGGGATCAGGGGGTGGAGATGGGTAGATTAAGGGTGGGGTTAGGGATCAGGGGGCGGAGATGGGTAGGATTAAGGTTGGGATTAGGGATCAGGGGGTGGAGATGGGTAGATTAAGGGTGGGGTTAGGGATCAGGGGGCGGAGATGGGTAGGATTAAGGTTGGGGTTAGGGATCAGGGGGCGGAGATGGGTAGGATTAGGGATGGGGTTAGGGATCAGGGGGTGGAGATGGGTAGATTAAGGGTGGGGTTAGGGATCAGGGGGCGGAGATGGGTAGGATTAAGGTTGGGGTTAGGGATCAGGGGGCGGAGATGGGTAGGATTAGGGATGGGGTTAGGGATAAGGGGGTGGAGATGGGTAGGATTAAGGTTGGGATTAGGGATCAGGGGGTGGAGATTGGTAGATTAAGGGTGGGGTTAGGGATCAGGGGGCGGAGATGGGTAGGATTAAGGTTGGGATTAGGGATCAGGGGGCGGAGATGGGTAGGATTAAGGTTGGGATTAGGGATCAGGGGTGGAGATGGGTAGATTAAGGGTGGGGTTAGGGATCAGGGGGTGGAGATGGGTAGATTAAGGGTGGGGTTAGGGATCAGGGGGAGGAGATGGGTAGATTAAGGGTGGGGTTAGGGATCAGGGGGTGAAGATGGGTAGATTAAGGGTGGGGTTAGGGATCAGGGGGTGGAGATGGGTAGATTAAGGGTGGGGTTAGGGATCAGGGGGAGGAGATGGGTAGATTAAGGGTGGGGTTAGGGATCAGGGGGCGGAGATGGGTAGGATTAAGGGTTGGTTTAGGGATCAAGGGGCGGAGATGGATAGGTTAAGGTATATGTGAGGTATATGTATGTGTAAGGTATATGTAAGGTGGGAGGAGTTGGATCTGGATCCAACTCTTCCCCCTGGATTTCGTGTTCTGCAGTGAGGATGATTTTCCATCTCGAAAAATCAGACTTTGCCCAGAGAAGTGATTTCTCACATTAGTTTTGGCTAGTCTTGTCATTACACTTTCAAAATGGTATGTATTTTAACATTTACCATAGTACAATACCATTCCCCATTCACTTCCACTATTGTGAGAGCATTACTGTAAAACACAAAATGCAAACTAAATCATAAGCGCAAACTATTTTCTGTTGTAATTGACAACATGCTGCCGGACCCCATGGAAGCCTGTTTCTGCTACAAAATAAAAAATTGTGAAACAAATTCACATTTTCAAAAGTTGACTGCAACTTTTTTACACCGTTCAGACTTTTCCCTTGCAATTGCGAGCTTTTAACACAATTCTGGCTTGAGAATTTTGAGAAAGTTAGAATTGTGAGTTAAAAGTCGTAACCTTTATTATTTATTTATTCCATGGCAGAAACAAGCTTCCATAGTACCCAGTCAAAACAAAAAGACAAAGACATTTAGTTCAGCCCAAACAGAGACCCTTTATATTGAACTGAGATCAGTTTTGCATTTGAGAAACCAGACCCGCAAGCTACCGAGATTCTGTATTAGTTACACTTAAGAATTTTGTTTTTTTTATTTTTCTGTTGTTTGAAATTTTAATGGAAAGCTGTACGTGCTGCTTTCCGTAAAACAAAAAAAAAAGGCTCAAAGAGCTTTCTGCCACTTATTCAGCTTTACGCTGCGTTCACACTGCCAGCGGCTATATTCAGATATTCAGACTGCTTTATATGCTTTATATTCAGATCTTTTCAGGCAGACAGTCCGCACTATTAAGTGACCGCACTATGACGTTTAATCTCCTCCACAACCATCTTTTTCAAGACAAGTAACAGTTAAAAAAAAATGACGAGTGGGGTAATATTGATGTGATTTATGTCGTAGAATAAAACATGAAAGTGTCTTAAACTTGTGTTCACCGCTGACCTTATTTCAGCCATTTAACCAAACATTTACTTCAGGACAATGGAAATGCTAAATTGCTAACCCGTTTCAGGTTTTGGTCCTAAAAGTGTTTCAGACCATATCTCAACTTCGCATCGCTGGACACGCTTACAAAGAAATGTGTCGCCCAAAAAATGAAAAATGTATGTGATTCAGTCGCTGGTATTGTGAACGCAGCTTTACTCTGTGAAGGTCAAGCTGGTCCTGGGTCACTTCTGAATGGGGTTAGTGCTAATCCAAGTTCACTTCTGTATTCAGCTTTGGTTGTTTCTAATGTGTCTCTGTATTTATCGTGCTCAATGACTTCTGTAAGTTCTGCACCTGAGTTGGTTCCTGAAACATTTTTTGGCAAGATGGAAAGGCATCGAAATGATTGATCTTTTTAAATCAACATGCATAATCATTAGTTAACCTGAACTAATGTATATATACATTTAGTGCACTCCCTCATATGGTAATTTTGCCTGAATATGTTAAATTTGTCATGCAACGAGAAAAAATGAAAAAAGAACAAAAAACAACAACAAACAAACAAGAAACATGCCCTGTACTGAATGTATCTTGCTTGCCTTTAAAATGTGTGGAGAAAACTATTGTCACAGTTGTCATTTATGTCATGAAAATCACATTGCATGACACACACACGTTGAAGTATGTTGTGAATGTCATCCAACAGGACAAATTCACAGCACACAATACTAATATAATTAAAGCACACTGTCGTTTTAGATTCACATGTAAAATGTCATTTGAAGAAAGCCAAGTGATTGGACATACAGGATATTCTCTGGCTGAGTGAATCTTGCAAAAACTGCCCAACACATGTTATAGATAAATTTCATCCCATAATCCAGAAATAAGGGAAGACTTTTTGTGCCAATCTCAATCAGAAAATAATTTGGTGGTGTGCTTAAGACTGACATGACACCTTCATAATCATGACATGATATATGTTTTGAATATGAAGTATGTTTGTGACAACTGTCATTAAGTGTCTTTCGCTCAATAATGACATTTTTAATGCAAATATGACATTGTTTGAGATGTCTGACATATGTCATGTCATGGTTATGAAGGTGTCATGTGTTACCGAAGCTTGTCTCTTCCACTGAATAAAACCATTTAAGATTTTATATATTTTTTTATTCTGTGGCGGAAACAAGCTTCCATAAAAATTGAAAAAAAAAAAAAAAATCTGATTTTATCTGATGGAACAAATACACAACTCCATACTTGAACCTCTAACACATTAGACATAGACCGAATTCAACATTATTCAGAAACATCTTTGCTTAAACGTTTACAAACCCCTGCAGAAACTACATCCATCTTTATTATTGTTTCATGAGGGATTCAAAAAACCTGCATGTTTACATATATTATAAAATGTTATTTTGTCTTGTTGAATATAAAGTATAGTATGTAAATATCTCTTACATCAGAGAGCGTCATCAGGATCGTAGCAGGAAAAAAAGCCTTTTCAAATCCATCATTGTGCAACGAGTAGCAAAAATACACTCACCTGCAATTATCTAATCAACCA